GCATATCGCCCTGCGATATTTCTTCGTGAAAGACGAGATCGAGAAGGGGAGACTCGAATTATCCTACTGCCCCACGTCCGAGATGGCAGCTGATTACTCGACCAAGAAACTCGAAAAACAGAAGTTTGAGTACAGCATGATGTTGACTGGTCAGAGCCACGTCACCAGCAGCGACACTCCAGAAGCGAAGGGGAGTGTTGGAAACAATTAACTTAAGCGCCTCTGTCGTGTCGAAACACCAAGTCAGAAGCGAAGCGAAACATATCGAAGCATTAGCGAGTCAACCCTCGGAGGTTGAACAACTACTGGAGGTTATGCGAAAGTCAAAGGTCAGTGACCTTTGACCTTAACAGTACAGCGCGACAGCAAGGACAAACAACTGACTCGCTATGGAGCAGTTGCCCGAGTCGTCACTGTGTCGAACCGCAACATCAACAGCAAAACAGTTATTAATTATAACCCTTCATATTCCCTTGTACACTTATAAAAGCTTGTATCTCTTAATTTTAATCAATCTACTTTGCCCTCACATACGAGCGCAAGGTGGTTCACAAACTTCGCATGGTGGTACTTCCACTATTACATTGTCCTACTCAGAATTTAGTCCTCCAAAGATCATAAGGGCTTTCCTCAGCCCAACAACCAGATGCTAGCCGGGGAGCTCCCACAACTTTAGCCGTTCTTCCATCCTCGCTCAGCTTCACCTTCTGGCCTTCCTGGATAGCGCTCTGGTAGCTGCAAAAACAGCCTCATGATTAGAGCTGGGGTAATGACATGAATGATTACACCATGTACGAACGTTTTTTTGAGAGTGACGAAGGTGTGAAGAAACGTTCTTAGTAGGAAGGCATAAAAGCCATAGTGAGTTCAGTAGTAGAGATCGAGCTCGAGTGAGTAGGGTTAGGAGAGTCGAGAAAGTTTCAACAAAGAGGGGTTTCACTATAGAGCGAGCAGTACAAATAGGCAAGATGAAAGGTGTACCACCACAACAGAACATTATATAACTACAGTAGTCTACACTACAGGCAGTTACAAAACAATATATAGGTTTATATATTATTCTGACACGCCCCCATAAGTGCCTGTAGGGAAGAATATGCAGTCAACGCCCCCATAATGGGGTACACCAAACAGGCCGCAGCGGAAATCATAGCAACAGGCAAGTGCAGTGACAACAGGTGCAGTGATGACAGATCCAGCTGTACCAGCCCCTTTACCAAGGTAAAAACAGTAGGAGGTGGTGGGGCGGCAGGTCGCCTGAGGAGCAGGCTCTGTGGCTGCAACATGCAGCAGGACAGCAGCGGCTTGACGGCAGCACCTGCAGGCCCCAGCACAAGGTAGCAAAAAACAGAGACAACAAAAAAAGGTAGGTGGTAGCAGGGGCGGCAGCTTGAGGTGCCACGGCAGCAGCTGGCGTCAGCAGCAGATGACCGGCTGACTTCCGTCGCCCCCTCACTCCCCCCCCCCACAGCGGCACGTGCGGCAGTGAGAGAGAGAGGAGGGGCGGCAGCTTCTTGCTCACACCCGCCTCCCCAAAGCCTCCCCCCCACACTGTTGCACGTGCAGTAGCGAACAGAGGGGCGTCAACCACCCTCGCGCCTCCCCCTCCCCCCCCTCCACACCGTCGTCCACAGTGGAAGAAAACGGCAGCGGGCTCGGGTGGGGTTGGTGAGCTGTCGGGTAGGAAGGGGGAGTAACGGGTGGGTGCAACAGGTGCCGCGACGAGCGCCTGCGCACAGCTCGTCGTCGCTTGCGAGGCAGCTGCAGCGGTAGCAGCCGCATTGTCGACGGGAGGGCGGGGCAGGGGGTGCGATCGGCGGCTGAAGTAACTCGGCCGCCACACCCGCCGTCTCCCCCCAAAGCGACCGTCAATGCAGACGTTCGGGGCTGCGACCGGGCGTGACGAGGTTGCAGGAGGGCGCGATGGGCAGACGACGGGGCCGCCGATTGGGGCCGCGACGAACAGACCTAGACCCGCCACGCGCGACGTCACGACTAGCAGCTGAACGGGTGCTTGGGAGGCCGCGACGAGCGCCATGGTAGGAACGAGAAGTGGTGGGCCCATGGGAAAAAAAATCAGGTCCTAGGATAGGAACCTCACTCTGATAACATGTGAAGAAACGTTCTTAGTAGGAAGGCATAGAAGCCATAGTGAGTTCAGTAGTAGAGATCGAGCTCGAGTGAGTAGGGTTAGGAGAGTCGAGAAAGTTTCAACAAAGAGGGGTTTCACTATAGAGCGAGCAGTACAAATAGGCAAGATGAAAGGTGTACCACCACAACAGAACATTATATAACTACAGTAGTCTACACTACAGGGAGTTACAAAACAATATATAGGTTTATATATTATTCTGACAGAACGCGTTCAAATCTTTCACAAGGTTCCTTTTCTTCTCCTGCAGCAATTTGTTAACTTCTGGTGAGTTCTTAGCTTCTTGGTCTTTCATGTCACGCTCGAATTCCTGAATCAACCTGCAATAAGATCCGTTTGCTCAGTAACGCGACTACGCAACTTCGACGCAACGGCAGAGTTTTCATATCAGGGCCTCAGATTCACTTTTAGGGTCGTCGACCCATCAGGGTACCCTTGTGTATAAACCCTGATTGACAGTGTTTCTAAAAAAAAAAAACCTGAAATATCAGGGTTCCCTTTGAAAAAAGGCTGATGTATCAGTGATCAAAAATATAAAAGGTTGTTAATTACTAGAAACCTCTACTTCAAATACTAAGTCAGTAGCAGCCGTGTTATCATCACTGCCTTTGGCTTCTCTCCTCTCCTCAGCTTGGGACACCAGTACGTGACAGTGCTCTGCCGCAGCACACACATACACGTTGAAGCTGCAGGGGCAGGGTGTGGAGGAGGAACCGGATTGACAGGCAGGGTGAGGCAGGGAAAGAGAGAACAGGAGGGAGAGAGGGGGGAAGATTGGCACAGTTGGGGGGGAGACGACTGGGGGAGAGATGGAGTGCACAGAGTGCGGGGCAAAGGGAGCAGAGGAATGGACGGCGGGCACGCGGGTCATGCGCGGATCATGTCGTCGCGCAGCACGACGATCTGCGCACCGCACGCGGTGCAGATGGCCTTTTCAACCGCGGTTCGTGCTGGCGACGAGGCAGCCTTCGGTTGCCGCCATTAGCACGAAAAACTACGCGTCGTCGAGTCGTAGCGGGCCTGCGACGCCGACGGGAATTGCCACGTGGTCTACGACCATCTAGCAGAATGCACTGCGGATCGCGTCGAACGAGAGCGATGTGTTCGGTGAGACAAGAGGAGATTCGGCGGCGCTTGCGATGGGTTCGATTCCCGACAGCCCGCCCTTTCTGGTGCTGATGGCGCCATGAATTAGTGCAGACGAGAAAGCAAGAGAGGAATCGGGCTGAGAGGGAGAGGGAGAGAAACAGGAGGAAAAGAAACAAGAGATTGGGTTGGAGGGAATGGGAGCATCAGTGCTTGCTGGTGCAGGAACCCTCGCAGCCCTCCAGCACAACATGGTTGCCACATCCTGATTAGCTATCACTTCATGCTACATCGTTACTGCCCAATGAAGTGCTGGCACCGCAGGAATATGAGATTCCCTGTTTTGCGGGCAAATGCACACGGAACAAGTAAGAATTGCTTTCAGTGTTAGTTTCGTTACAACGCCGTAGAATCAGTGTACTGGGGAAACGAAAGTCTGAAATTTCAGTGTGGCCTAACAAAAAAGGCTGAAAGATCAGTCCCACAAAAATATCAACGCTGATTTTTCAGTGTAGGTAAAAAAAGGGCTGCCAAAATCAGGAATTTCAGGGTTTTTTTCCTGATATCTGAGGCCCTCTTTCATATCCACCTTCTGCACTCTCTAAGTTTAGGCGTGACATCTTCCAGCAACTGGCTTTGTCGAGAAGGGTCTTCGCACTTGTCAATCTTTGAGAAGGTGGTCCTGGAACAGATAAAGAGTGTCAAACTCTGCATAGGTTCTAAGCGTACTATATATTCACCTCATTCAACCGACTCACTTCAACTGGGTGAAGCTTCTACCAAGCTGGTTCGAGATATCGTTCAGGGAAGGCGGCAGGTTGTAACCTGCTAGTAGCAGTAAAGCATCTGAGCGTAGTATGTTGTAACAGACACTGTTACTGGTTGTGTGCGTTCCAGGTACAGAGTTGGGGTGTGTTAGTTGCGGGTGTACTAGGTGTGTATTGTGGTGCGGGATGGAACATCAGCAGCAGCAGCAGCAACAGCAGCGGTGGCAGCAGCAGTGGCAAAACCAGCTAAAGGGAGAGGAGGGAAGGAGAGTAAATACCGGTAGCGTGTAAGGGGGGCAGTGGAAGGAAAGCAGGAACATGGGTGGGAGGATGGGTTCCTGGGTGGATCAGATCGGATCATGGGAACGAGATCATGTGTGCAGCACTTGAGTTGTCTGTCGGATTAGCCTAGCTCGTTGCAGTTGACCTGCTAACTCCGTGGAAGATCAGAGTGCAAGTGAATCAGGAGGAAAAGGGATCATGGGGTGTGGACGGAAATTCATATGACTAATTCGATCGGTTTAGTTACTGGATCATGTGTTTCTCTATGCGTTTGTGGGCGTGCGTGGTTTGTAAGGACGGAGCTTGTTGGAGGCCACTAACCTTGACCTTATGACAGTAACGACTTACTGTACTACATAAGGTCAAACATTGTTTACTGTAAGCTAGTTGGTGATTGTTATAAAGAGATTGGTTCATTCCAATGATACAGAAGGTGGCGCTTTATATAAGTTGCTTACAGTTTGCATGACAAGGACATTGTACAACAAGAATGCAGATGCACCATCAACAGGGCACGAGGTGTAGATGCAGCAAGCACTACAGGAAGGTTGCACGCAAAACAGAGGAAACATGGCAGTGCCACCTCTTTCAGAGAGGAGGAAGCAGTAGGCCCCCTACACTTACTCACTGCCACTAACACGCTTCTCTCCATAAATTTCCTGGTGTGGCTGGCACCACCCTGTGAGGAACAGAGCAGTCCTGACAGAGTTCGTTCAGAGAGCATAACGCAGCGTGCCTTCAGCAGTGTCCCCCGCTTCCGACTCCACAGTCAGCTTAATCACCGAATCCACTGCCGAGCCTGGCAGGGCCGCAGCACGCATGCTGGCAGCAGCCGCATATGCAGCGTTTGCAGTGCCAGCAGCACCCGACACACTCGGAAAGTTATCAAGCCACTCGCAGAGCCACACGCCGGGGCGGGGCTGGGACCATGTGCAAGAAAGGTTAAGGTCGGTGGTTTCAGCAGAAGCAGGGTCAGAGACGGAGAGAGTTGCTGACTTGGGGGCATCTGGGGAGACTACCACGATGCTCACGTCTAGCTTGCACTTGCGGTTGCTGCGAGGAAGAAGGCAGAAGGGAGGAGAGAGAAATGAGGCAGTGGGGTTGAGATCTGTGTGCGTGGATGGTGAAATTTTAGGAAAAGGAAGATTGGCATGTGAGAACCAGGATTGACATTTCCATTGCAGCTGTAACAGGGACTCACATGTTGGAGACGGCAAACATGGCTCCTCCTTTAAGCTTCTCGCTGTTAATTCCTGCCTGGAACCTTCCAGCGGCAACCCCAGCCAGCAGATCGGTTTTACCTGCAGCAACATTGACTTGAGTTAGTTAACTGCCCGTCTTGAAACCTTGTTTCATGTGAGCGAAAGAGGTGAAATGGGCAATCTCGGGTTGTCAGTCGACACACGACTGCTCCTCACGACAGCTAAGAAAACAGAAATACACAAACCGGGTTACCAGGATGGATGGGGGGGCACACAACGTACCAAAGACTTGCTCCATTTTCGAGTTTGCCTTGGCTACCGCGAGGTTCGCGTTGGAGACGACGACAAGCCCCATGTTGTGTGCATCCATGTACGTGAGACTCAACGCATACGAATTGACGCGAACCCCCACGCCAGCCGTGAACCCGATGTTGTTGATGTCGGCCTGGGTCAGTTTGGTCTGGCCGAAGCAGTCCCACACGCTCGGCGCGACTTGCGAGCACTGCAAGTTCTTTCCGAGCGAGCCCAGCACGACGGGAGTTCTCGCGTTCAGAGTCACTTCTTGCGGCGGATAGGGCGAGCCTGCAGCGGTCAGGCGGAACTGCGACGGCTTGGTCGCGGACCTGGCAAGGTTGGGGAAAGACGATCAAAAGAAAGAAATAAAGAAAAGAATTTTCACCAAACGGGATTACAATTTCAGGACATGACACCCCAAGGTTGTGCAGGAAAAGGGGGGAGGGCAGGGAGAGACAGGGGGTTGGGGAGAGGGGGGAGAAATTGGGGAATAGGGGGGCAGGGAGAGCAGAAACATATCTCCACTCCTGGGTCGTCCTGTAGCCGTCCCTGCCGTCAGTGCTCGCGAGCACGGCTCAATGCTCCCCACCACACCCACACTGCTGCTTGCGACAAGGCGTATGCTATGCTCCCACCACGAAACCCTGACCCCGAATTGAACCACAAAACTTTCAACTCTGAATCCCGGGTTTAGAGTCCTGATAACAAATACTTACTTGGAGGGGACAGCGATGCTGAACGTCCCTGCCACGTTCAGATCTGAGAAGTCCGCGCTGTAAAACTCTGCATTGGGGATCATCCGACATGGCAATGAGAAGGGGAGGAGGCGGGTGATGAGGATGGGTGATTATCCGACGTGGCAATGATGGAGAGCCATCTCGAGTCACGGATTACGAGAACTGACACAAAACGCGACAGCCATTTTATCACGTTAAAGAATTCATTACGATAAATCTCCACAAAATTCAGACTCGAACTTTCTGGAGAAAGGATTTCAAGCAGGAGCGGGGAGAGCGATAGGGAAGGGATGGAGGCACTGACTGGCGGCGGGCGTGGGCGGCGGGAAGAGCATCGTTAGGACGGCCTTGACGAACGCGAGGCCCGCTTTCGCGGCGCGCTGCTTGGCCGCCTCGCTCACCGCCTCTGCTCCGGGAAGTGACGACGAGAGCAGCACGCCTGAAGAGGACCACAAAAGCAAGTTCATCAGAATGATGACAATGAAAAAAGCAAGCTAACCAGAATAATGGAAATTTTATAATAGCGAGTTCATTGGAATGATTACAAATGATAAGAGCAAGTTCATCAGAATGATGAAAAACGATTAAAACGACAGCGAAATACGACGTAGTTTGAAAAAAGCATGGCGATGGGTTTTTTTTTTTTTTTTTCATAAGCCTGATTAACAGCCCAGCGATCGATGAGAGAGGCATAGGTTGATGAGAAGTCGTACTGGCGATGATGAGGAGGCACGTGAGAACACGGGGGAGAGCCATTGCGGGTGTTTCTGTTGTGTCGCTGAGAAGCCCTAAACGATACCACTGATGTGAAAGGAACTCGCGGTTGCAACAGTGTTTGCGGTCTTAAGAGAAGAAGGAGCTCTTTGAAAGGAATGTTTAGGGAAGAGAAAGGCTGTTGATGAGAAAAGGATGTGGCTCTGATGGTGGTAATAAACGATTTACGGATGAGAAGGCTTGCGTCCAAGGGTGGAAGTGAACACGCAGCGCTCAGCTGCTTTGTGTGAGGTAAGCGCGAAACCCGGACCGTCATTGTCGGTCCGTCAACCATTTGGCCAGGGGTCCAGCGATAATGCAAACGTCCGCGTTCCATTGGAGAAGTGAAATAATAGAGGCTTCATGCGTTCCGTTATTCACGGAACGAAGCAAGAGACGTTCGCGTCTCAGCTGCGCCGATGGAACCTAGTTGGCAGGAAATAGGCTGAGCTATGTACGCGTTCCTGAATGGTGAAAGCTAGGAAGAAAACTGGGAAACTGATTGACTGGCTGGCTGGTTGAGATGTATGAGGCGAAGGGGTGCTTCATGGCGCAGGACGGTTTCACACGGTGGAAAACTGTTTTGAGCTTTACCGTGTGGCTGGCTGGTTGTGACCGTTTGAAGGCGATGGGGAGAGGGGAGGAGGAAGAACAATAAAAGCTGACGGAAATCAGCACACCAATAATTCCGTTCCTCATCTGACAGAGCCGTCAGACTCCGTCAGCTGCGGGCTGTTGCTGGTCGCGGTTCACTGAATCCTAAAATGAACGGGGCTGACCGTGAAGGAGGATGGTTGAAAGGGAGCCGTTTATTGGGTTTGTGTCGCTGAAACGGGTTTTTCGTTGGTGTCTGAACGAGTCAGCGACTTCTGACGAAACCCTTCGCAAGTGGGGGTGCCACAGAGGGTGGTGGTAATTCAGGATGTCAACTTTCGCACGTAAGGTTTCTGCCCCGTGTCATGGAAATATTTGGTACTGCATTATTGCTGCCCAACAAGGGCGGGCAGATTTTCAAGATGAGCTCGCCCAATCACTTCATCGGAAGCAAAAACTTATTTCTGCCAACCAAACACACCAATGCGATTTTCAAATAGCGCGCTTCGGACACCCAATAATGCAGTGCCTGATTCTAACCTCCAATCCCATCGCCCCACCCGATCCATTCCTTCCTCCGCCCACCTCTATCCATTGTTATCTCTCTGCAACGCATATTAATCCCCTGTAAGCCTCCGTAAATTCCTCAGCCAAGCTTATCCGCCTCTACCCCATCCTTCTTCCCAAGCAGACGACTCCACACAGTACATAACTCAACATACTTCACAACATTCATCAGTTCACATCGTGCTTTTCACCTCTCGAGCAGCAATCCCGCTTGCACTTGTGCTCATTCTCGCTCCTACCCAGTTTTCTTCCAGACCAGACCGAGCTTCTTCTGCTAATTCTTTCTACCTCCATTGTCCGTTCACGGCATTTCACTCAAACGTGTCGTCATGGCCCGCCTCGCAATTCCGCATTGGCTCGTATCCTGCCTTATGTGCCTTCCTGGTAAGAATCTTCAAGGCGCAAAATTCAGATGGCCCGTTCATTACAGCTACCCTCATCTTTGAAAGAAATCGAAGCCTCTGCGGTTGTATTTTACATCGATTTACGCTGAAAACAAAAAATCATACACGATACACTTGATTTTCGCCGCAGGACTCGTGCTTCTCCTCTGCGCGGCGCCTGTCACCATGACTTCAGCGGCGTTCGAGGTCGCGGACGCGGATATCAAGAAATTCGTTCCAGCAACCTCTTCGAAATCATGTAAGTCCATACGCGTCACCGCTTTGACCCAGCGTCACGCTCAGTTTGTGTTACCATTCTGAGACTAGAGCGGTCTCAGCGGCTAACCCCTCGTTCTCCCGTTCCCACTCCATATCTTTGCAGCATTCTACAGTGCTCTGGTGGTGTCGTCATACGAATCGCAGGGGACCGTGATCGTGCGTATGCCTGCCGAGTAAGTCCGGCCTTCCAAAAGTCTCCCCGTGCCGTCGCATTCCTTCATTCCTCCATATCACGAAGATTCTCCAACCCAGCCGGCTGATAAACCGCCGTTTCTGCTGACTTCTGAAACCTCCGTGTTATTCATACTCCCCCCTTCCTCCCTCTCCCCGCCCGCTCCTCGCGCTCCCATCACCCCAGCACGGGCCTATTCCCGGTGGTTCTCCGGGTGGTCATGGCGGGAACCGTCGAACCGCCAACGGACGTCTTACTCGATGGCACGTCTCTGGCGTCGGACGCCAGTCAATGGAAACTGGTGGCTCCGGGTGTATGGGACCTGACTAGGAGTCTCGACTGGGGGGCCATTGCTCTAGGAAGCGCCTTGATTGGTGTCGGGGCCGAAGTGTCGCACGCGGATGTGAACGGCAACGCGATTACCGCGTCAGGATCGCTAGCGAAGATCGGATCTCTCGATACTGGTACGGACGCTCTAGTTATGAATCCGGCAAAGCAGATTGTGTTCTTCTTCCATCCATTCGTTATGATTACTCGTGACAGAACAAGTTATACTGCGTTGCGGCGGACTCTGTGAATTGCACCCTTCCCATTGCAATCCCCCTGATGCACCCCTCCTCGTGCATCCCCCCCCCATTCCGCCTTTTCCCGTTGTGACTCTCCCAATGCGCCCATCCGCCCCTCCCATGTGCCAGGCCTCGCAGTGCTGCCATCCATGTCAGGCGGCCGATTCCAAGCCATGTTCTCGGGGACCGTGGCTGGGGGAGCCAAGATCCGCATCGCCACCAGCACGTGAGTTCGTAATTTCGGAACATCTATTGCGATGAGAGTGGTAACGGCGAAAGCCAATCCAGAGAGGCTGCATTCGAGGGGTTTGGGATGGTGAGGCTGGTCAGAGAGGAAACCTAGAATGACAAATTTCCGAGAATATAAGACTACAAGCAAGCAAATCGACTTATATTTGCTCTACTTGTTGTGTCCTCTGCTGCCCCCCCTTCTCTCTGCCCCCCCTCTCTGCCCCCCCTCTTTGCCCCTCCCCTCTATCCCCCCGCCATATAGCGACACCAAGGTCAGCCTGGAAGAGCACCTGGCCCTCATCAGAGGCGTGAAACTAAACTCAGCTTGTGCTCTTCCCTTCACCTGCTTTACCTCTTGTGTCCTGCTGCCCCCCCTCTGCTGCACCCCCTATCTGCACCTCCTCTGCCCACTCTCTCTGTCCCCCCTCTTTCCTGCACCCTCTCTCTGCCCCTTCTCTCTGCCCGTCAAGCAGCAACACCAAGGTTACTCTCGAGGTGCACCTGGCCTTCACCAAGGGCGTAAACACCAACTCAAAGGTCTCTCTGGTGGGTCAGGTCGGAGCCGACAAGTCTGCCCCTCTCACCCTAGCATGCCCCTTCACATCGAACATCAAGGGAGTGTTCACTTGCTCCAAGACTGTCGACGTGAAAATCCCCGCGGGAGCTGCTACCACGGCCGGCGTCTTGGGACTGCAGAAGTTTATGGCTGCTCTGGTGGGAGCTACCATGTCAGGTGATCACCTGGCGGCAACCTTCACCCTGATAGTGAATGGGCAGCAAGAGACCCTTTACTACGGTTTGTAGTTCTATCTTATCATTCCCGTGGAGTTCTTGCTTGTGAAGTACCGTCATGGGGGTGATGTGAGAGGAATTGTGCTGTAACTGCATATCGTGGATTGCAACTAGGAACGGGGTCTTAAACGGGAAATGGGAGCATATGCTGCTTGTAATATAGTGAATGTTTCTGCTTAATGATGACATTGTACACTGGATAACATTCGAAGACAAGATTCAGTTTGAAGCTGGAGGAGCTTGGGGACCCAAGTCACTTAGCTTCTTGTTATGCGGGTCCACGATCTGCAACCAGTTGAGAGTTAGTTCAGGCGAAGATGTCAGGGATAGTCACTGGAGCAAAGGCCCAACTCACCTTGACGATTATGATGGCAATCACTCCAAGAATAACAAGCGCCAGCATTGCCAAGATGCATTTATCTGTTGCCATCTGCTTCAGTGGTTGTGTTAAGCAGGTCGCATGGTTTAGGGAAAAGAGAGCACTCACCATCATCTGACTCACCTGTCGGCCCAATGCCTTCACAAGCTTGGCTGCCCGCTTAAGGGAGAATTCTAAATTGTCAAGCTTATCAACAATCCGTTCCATTTGTTCGGTCTGCACGCGTCACACAAGAGTAAGAACACCGCACTTACAAGGCAGAATCTTCAGCGCCATACCTGTCCCTTCAAAGTCGTGGCCGTTGCTGCTCCAATGTTGATAGTGTTCTCAACTACCTGAAACACGAAAAGCACATACGGTAATAAACATATGCATCGCCTTCGACAAAGGTCTTCGAAGCAAGAAAGAACCTGCTTGGATCTTAGAACAGATTGGTCCGCTTGTCCCATCACACGATTGCCCTCCTCCATCAGCTGAGCAATTGTCATCGCTGCAGGGAGATCAGGAATGAAAGATCAGTACGGCTGCGGAGCCAGATGGAAATTCATACGTCAACCAGGAAGGAACTGTTACCAGATGCTAGCCTGGGAGCTCCCACAACTTCAGCCGTTCTCCCATCCTCGCTCAGCTTCACCTTCTGGCCTTCCTGGATAGCGCTCTGGTAGCTGCAAAAACAGCCTCATGATTAGAGCTGGGGTAATGACATGAATGATTACACCATGTACGAACGTTTTTTTGAGAGTGACGAAGGCGTTCAAATCTTTCACAAGGTTCCTTTTCTTCTCCTGCAGCAATTTGTTAACTTCTGGTGAGTTCTTAGCTTCTTGGTCTTTCATGTCACGCTCGAATTCCTGAATCAACCTGCAATAAGATCCGTTTGCTCAGTAACGCGACTACGTAACTTCGACGCAACGGCAGAGTTTTCATATCCACCTTCTGCACTCTCTAAGTTTAGGCGTGACATCTTCCAGCAATTGGCTTTGTCGAGAAGGGTCTTCGCACTTGTCAATCTTTGAGAAGGTGGTCCTGGAACAGATAAAGAGTGTCAAACTCTGCATAGGTTCTAAGCGTACTATATATTCACCTCATTCAACCGACTCACTTCAACTGGGTGAAGCTTCTACCAAGCTGGTTCGAGATATCGTTCAGGGAAGGCGGCAGGTTTGTTAACGACATTCTGCCTCACAGCGTCCAGAATCGTCCCAAAATCGTGACCTTGGATAATACAGTCTGTTTGTGTACCGAATCTGATTTTCAGGAAATGGCATGAAGCGATTCATCTGTGACCAACCCTAGAAGCCCTCTGCACTTGGTCTCTGGCAGGGTTGAGGGAAGCGCTGCGCATCCCCGTGAAGCAGCCACTGCCAGGAAAAGGACTCAACTTTTTGAACTGACTCATTTCAGTGTAACACTGACAATGATTCAGGATATACTGGTAGTAATATATGAATAAAATCTGGAAGCATTGTGACTGTCAGGCCAGATCACATGTGTTCGACCTTCTCTCGTTCTGGAGATTTGATACGAGCAAAACAACAATTTTCCAACAAGGATATATTTATGAAAAAAAAAATCAAGCACGAAGCGGCTTCAATCCAAGTTTCGCACGAAGCTTGTTGGCTTCCGCGATTTCAGGATCCTCATGATCTGTCCCATCTGCTGCTTTCTCTTTCTTCTTGCTCTTCTTCTCCCTGCCACATTAAAAACGAAACAATGATGAGCAAAACGACTATGTGACAACAAAGGATATATGTGTGCTGTGTAGAGATTTGGTGATGTAAACCCTATGGACAGCATACTTACTTGGTCTCGTCAGCCGCCTCATCTCTTCGATCGCGTTTCCTCGAATCACCATCCCTGTCCCTGTCTCTATCCCGCTCCCGCTCCCTGTCCCTGTCCCCATCCCTGTCTCTCTCCCTATCCCTACCCCTATCTCTTTCCCTGCTCCTGTCTCTTCCCCCATTCCTATCCCTGTCCCTGTCTCTGTCTCTCTCCCTACCCCTGTCTCTTGCCCAATCTCTGTCCCTATCCCTATCCCTGTCCCTCTCCCTGTCTCTGTCCCTCTCCCTGTCTCTGTCCCTGTCCCTGTCTCTGTCTCTGTCTCTCTCTCTCTCTCTCTCCCTGCCTACTCTGTCCCTGTCTCTATCCCGGTCCCTGCAAAGGTGGAAGCAAAGAGGCAACAAACAGAGAGATGTTATTGGTGTACAGATCTGACCTTAAGCGCACTTCACGCTACTCATTTCATCTTTATTCATCTATGAACCACACCAAAAAACACCCAATGATGTTCAGTGCTTTATACTTCTCTCAGAGCACTGCCAGCACTGGGAAACCTGGAAGCACTGATACCCATGACTGCACACTCAAGGAGCTCTGAAGAACTCTATAAGGAGTACAAAAATAGGTTTGTTCTTGGGAGAACATATGACACAAAGGCAACCCTCGTCCATGAAAAAAACGAGGGGACAAGAGTGAGTGGGCCATCTGGGAAAGGCAGCCTTGCAATGACAAGAAGTCATTGAAGGACTGCCTAGAAAAAGATGAGCTCTTGCCGCCTTGCGCGCACAACTGCAGCATGCTTCAGGACGCTTCCCAAGAGGATGCTTCCCAGAAAATGCACAGTCGGCTGTTCTCCCTATCGAGTTAATGAGCGGAATTCAAACAACAAATAGCTATGGGCACTTTGCAAACACTACCAAACGTTGCTCAGGAAAACAAAGACAAAAAGTACCTGAAATAAACTATCTGAGTACAGTGGGATACTGAATACAGTGGCACATACCTGTCTCGATCCCTGTCTCTGTCTCTGTCTCTGTCTCTGTCCCTGTCCCTATCTCTTTCTTTGTCCCTGTCCCTGTCTCGGTCACCCTCTCTTTCCCGATACCGATCTTTCTCCTCAGCCTGGACACACATGTATGTGCGGACAAAAACGGGAGAAATTCGAAAACAAAAACAGGTTGTAAAAAGAAACAAAGAGAATATACATGGAATGCACGAATGAATTAGGAATCTTTCTCATGCATTCATCCGTGCATTCAACAGGAGCGGAAAGAGGACTAGGTCGTACCTTATCAGCAACTGGTTCTGGCTCCTCTTCCTCCTCTTCCTCTTCCTCCTCCATCTCGTCATAATCCAACCCACTCTTTCTCAGCTCCAACTGCCCTGCTGCTTCCAACGTCCATCTGGAAAAAAGAAGATAAAAAAAAACACCAGATAGTAAAACTGCCGGAAGACTTGCACATTGAATTATGTAAATACATGACAGACAAAAAAACCAAAAAAGGGCTCGAACCAGGAGCAAAACACGTGCAACATAGACCACAGAGAACAAGGTTAGAATCAAAAGCAAGCCTCATACCTGCGAGGTATGCGAGGCAATGCGATGTCGCAGCTGGAGTCGAGCGTGAGAAGCTCCTCTATGAACTCGTCCACATGCGACAACACAAACACTAGGGGGAAATAAAGGGTGGAAGGGGGCGAGCGGGCGGTGATGGGGGAGCAGGGAGGTGAGGTGATGTCGCAGCTGGAGTCGAGCGTGAGAAGCTCCTGTATGAACTCGTCCACGTGCGACAACACAAACACTGGAAGTGTGGGGTAGTGCACAGTAAAGGGGGAGTGGGGGGGACGAGTGGGGGGACGAGTGGGGGGTACGAGTGGGGGGGAGGAGTGGAGGGAACGAGTGGGGGGGGCGATTGGGGGAGAGAGGTGAGGTGATGTCACAGCTGGAGTCGAGCGTGAGAAGCTCCTCTATGAACTCGTCCACATGCGACAACACTAACACTGGAGGTGTGGGGTAGTGCACGGATGGGGGGAGAGGGGAACGAAAGGAGGGGGATGGGGAAAAGGAGGGACGGGCGGGGGTAAGCAATGTCACACTGGAGTCGAGTGTGAGAAGCTCCTCGATAAACTCGTCCACGTGCGAGGAGCTTCTCGATAAACTCCTCCAACACAAAGGCTGGAGGCACGAGGTAGTGCGAGGAGGGGGGGAGGGGTGGGGCAGAGGGGGGAAAGGGGGGAGTGGTGAAGCGATGTTGTGACTGGAGTCGAGTGTGAGAAGCTCCTTAATAATTTTGTACAAAGGTTCCAGGTACGAGTTTATACACGCTTAGAATGGCTCCACGTCCGAAATGGCTTCTGCACTAGAGCACTTGAAACCTACCCAAATAAACCTCTCAACAATAATGAAAGACAAGAGCAGTAACTCACTTCCACTCTCCAGTTTCCTCCACACTTTGCGGTAGTCGTTGTACAGAGGCTCCAGGTACTAGTACACGTCCCTGGTGGCTTTCGGGCTAGCACACTCAGAAACTTAAGACACCTAGCCCACACTTAGAGACCTCTCAAGGATAACGATGGACAAGAATGGGAACTCACTTCCGCTCTCCAGTTTCCTTCGAACCTTTCGACAGTCGTTGTACAGTGGCTTCACAGGTACTGGTACACGTCCCTGGTGGCTCCCAGGCTAGCGCATATACAAACCTAGACACACCTAGAACTTACAACGATAACGATAGATAGGCGAGAACAAATAACTCACTTCCACTCTCCAGTTTTCTCCGCACTTTCCGATAATCGTTGTACAGCGGCTCTAGGTACTGGTACACATCCATTGGCTTGCCCACCAGCCGCAGGTAAAACGCTCCAAGCAGGCGAACGTACCTGCGGAGAAAGGAAGGGGGTGCATGGGAGAGAGGAGGGGAATGGCAGGTATGAGAGTTGGGTGATGGAAAGAGTAGGTCTGAGCTGAGTGGCTCCAGGTACTGGTACACGTCCATGCGCTTGCTCACCAGCCGCAGGTAGAACGCTCCAAGCAACCGCACATACCTGAGGGGTATAAGGGGGGCGGGGAGTGGAAGGGGGAGGCGGGAAGGAGGGGAGGGGGGGAAGGAAGGAAGGAGACGATATAGGTTGCAAAATTCCAACAATAGAGCGTCGTCGCCCCTTAAAAAGCCCAACTCGCATCCCCGAAAAAAACGATAAAAACTGAAGAATCTTGAAAACCACGCAGATGTGACCGTCGACACATCAAGTAACGTACTCACTTGTAATCTGAGTTCTTTATAAACTCGACCACGATCTCCTTCTCGGGTTGAATCTGAAGCATCTTGAGAATGAGGCACATGAACGGGGTGGGCTTGCGATTTCCTCCGAAGGTTCCTCCGAAATGGTCCAGATCCATAGCTTTGTCGACCAGGGTTTCAGCTGCCGCGAAGAGACGGAGGAAACACCACGAAAAATGAAGGGTTTTTATTTACAGAAATTTAATTGCTTGCAGGAACGGGGACGAAAACAGGGGAACCGGGAAAACGATATTTACCCAAGAAACTCAAGTGGCATAAGTGGAAATAAGGGTGAAGAAACGCAGACAGGAAGAGACGGAACCGAAACTCGCAACGCGAAACAGCGACAAAGGTCACGAAAGGTATCGGGAGGCGGGGAGGGGAGGGCCGGGGGGAGGGCGGAAACGGCGGAACATAACGATAATCCGATAATCTCGAGGTCTAAGGGTTAGAAGGTCAGTGTTTGAGAGAAAGTGGTCAAGAGGACGCAGCATCGAGTTCATCGGCAAAGGCGACGAAAAGCTGACGCAATGAGAACGAAAGAAAAGAAAATTAAATGAACAATTCCTCTTTCGAAGTCGAAAAGACGAACCTGTGAGGCCGAAACATTGCTCCTTCCAGTAAATGTTCTGATAGATCTTGGCGCGCAGAATCTTCTCCACCAGATTCTGCGGGTTCGTGCCGTGAACCGTTCGCGCCCTTGGATCCGTTCGATTTGCCATGGCGCATCAAGAAGACGACAACAATCACCTTGTCTATCCGCAGCGATCTCCTAAAGCGCAACGTCAAGGAGACAGTGATCACTGGTTCTACACTCGGAACGATTTTCTAGGGTTCGACGTCGAACGGGAGGCCTCGCCGGAAGTGAATGGCCGTCACCCTCCAGAAGAGAGTTCCGCTTTTACTTCACCCTCGTGCCATAGACATGAATACTTACCCTAACAGCTGACGAAGTGGTAAGGGCGTGTCTCACGAGTTCGTTTACAGTTCAAGTTCAGTTTTGTAACCCTGTTTCCCGTCTGAAACCCTTCCCTGCATGACATGCGTATTCAATGACGCACCGGATGACACGCCTAGGACGTCAAGATGTTCGTACTATCCCACGTACAAGGTACGTGAGATCACTTCGTACCGGGTCCTCCATTACGTTACCCCAATCAGAGACTTCGCCCACATTCAGTCGCGCGAAGAAAAAACTAAACTTCGCAAAGAGCACAGTTGATTCGCACTGTGGCCGGTTACCGCTCGCGGCCCATGTTCGGATGACGATTTTTGTGTGGGTGGGGCTATGACTCCGCGTGGGTCAATTTCGTTTGGCGCTGTGCTGACGCGCTGCGTGTTTTTCACGTCAGAGTGTACACTCTTTTGCTTTGTCGAAATTACGTAAATAATATGATTTTCTACCCAAATGAACTCATGGGATACGCCCTAAGACTGCCTAATGGGAAAGTACATCCCAGCTCCTGTGTTTCAGATTTCTCTCATATTTAGCTCCAGGTTCACTAAAAAAGTACTACTTTCTGGAAGTTTGCTCACGCGAGGCCCAGATTATGTTCAAAACTGGTCCTGCGGGAATTTTTTTTTCGACACGTGTCCAATTCGCATTATTTTTTTTCGACGGGTGCAAAAAACATAAAACTCCTCGGGAACCAGGACACATTTGCGGGACGGATCAACCCTAAACACCTAGCGGGTCCCCGTATTTAGGGTTGATCCTTCCCGAAATTGTGTCCTGGTTCCCTAATGGTTTTCTGGTTTTAACCCCGTCGAAAAAAAACTGACGCGAAAATGGACACGTGTCGAAAATTTTGTCCCGCAGGACCAGTTTTGAACATACTTTGGGCCTCGCATGAGAGAAATCCCAAAAAAACCTGCCTTTTGGTAAATCGGAGGCTAAATATGAGAGAACTCCGAAACACAGGAGCTGGGATGTACTTTCCCCTGCCTAATCGTAAGGGCGAGGTCAGGTCATTACACACAGTGAAAAGCATTTTTCGACGACTACCGCTCTGCACCGTGTTGAAACGAATTTTACCAGAGAGGGCGTACAAAAAGTTGTACAACCTGACGTCGCCCTAAGGACACGTCACCTGAAGCGGATCGATTGGCTAAAAGATCGGTTTTGCGCATGGGGTGTAGCACTGTAGCGTCGTGATCAACAAAGTAGCTAAATTTCGGGGAAATTATGTCACGAGTAACCAATATGGGACTCGATAACGTGAGTGGTAAAAACAAAACGCGTGAGATCACCCTATCGGGTTTGCTGACGGGCTTGGTAAGTGGGGTCACGGATTTAGTAACTCAAAACAGGTTAAAAAATCACGCGAGAGGTCACACATGTAACTCCCGCCAAAAACTCTTGAAACTCTACAAAATTCCCCGCTCGCGCCAAACTAATCAGATAACTTCTAAAAAAACTAAAAACCAATCGGAAACGGCGACGGTTCGGGAACGGATCAACCCTAAACACCTGGCGAATTGTGTTTAGGGTTGATTCATCCGAAAATGTATCCAGGTTCGTTTTGGGTATTATCTTTTTGAGGCGGGAGTTTCATTTGTGACCATTCGCGTTTTTTTTTTTAAGTTGCGAAGCAACCCTTTACAATCGATTTTGCCAAATTTTATTTTCATATTTATATTTATTAAAACACGAAAATAAAATTCGTAAACTACAGTAATACCCTTCCCATACTGTGCATGTTGAGAAGTTTTAGATATTGTTCACTATCTTTTGGGGAATGATTTTCCTTCATTGTAATAGTTTGTTGTCATGTTTGCATTATATTTTTACCGTGCTGATCGGTGCAATGATAATTACTTGATGAGAAGAATAGAACGAGAATGAAATGACTATGAACGAAGTGAGTACAAATAGGAAACCCTAATTGGGTTGTACCCCCTATAGGATACCCCACTATAGCCTACACAAATAAGTAACCTATAATGTTCTGACACACCCCCATAGGCAAAGTGGGGGAGAACAAGGGGTCACAAGACCAGTCAAGCAAAGCAAAGCAAAGCTCAGGGTGGATCACAAAGTCACCACACATTCCGAGCACAAGTTCAAAGGCCAGAAGGCCAGTCCACATGCAAGATCATATACTGAGATATACAAGAGCCAAGCAAGCAAGTGCAAGAGTATATATATGTGAAGGTACAAGCAAGGTCAAGAAGTGAGCAAGTGAGGCAAGACAGGCACAAGACCCAGCTGCGTGCAGCAGCGCTGATGATCACAAGGCGCAAGTGCCTTGGTGAAAACATCAGCAGTGTTGGCCTCAGAGGCCACGTACGCAAGTCGCAACTGTCCACGCTGCTGTAGCTCACGAGCAAGAAAGTAGCGGAGAGCAATGTGCTTTGTCCTTTACTCCAGCCGCTGTTCTCGACACAAGGCCAGCATGGCCTTGTTGTCTACGTACAAGACTGGAGGAAAACGAGGCGGCTCTCCAAGGTCAGTCAGCAGGTAGGTGAGCCAGCAAAGCTCCTGGGCAGCCATAGCCCCGGCGTAGATCTCAGCCTCACAACTGGAGCCGAGGATAGAAGACGAGCGGGTAGCCCGCCACGAAACAGAGCCGGAACCAAGGCTGAAGGTGTAACCCTGTGACGACCGCTGCGTAGCCTGGTCGTCAGCCCAAGAAGCGTCTGCGTGCCCAGTGAGGACCACTGGACTCCGCCCTCCAAGCACTAGCCCCATGCCCGATGTACTACACTAGTAGCGCAACACCCTCTTCGCTGCAGCCATGTGCTCTGGTCGGTGTCTCCCAAGAGCAACATAGCGTGCGAGAATGCTAAGAGGGTATGCAAGGTCAGGTCGTGTGCAGGTTATCAGGTACATGAGGCAGCCAACAAGCTCTGCATACGGGCCACTCGACTCTACGGACTCATCCGAAGGCAGAGCTGAGAGCGAGTGGCGAGTAGACAGAGGAGTGGCCTGAGGCGAGGAGTACGTGTAGCCGAAGCCCTGAAGGACCTGCTGCACCATGTGTGACTGAGTCAGGGTAATGGTGCGGCGTGCTCTGTCCCAGGTAATCTGCAAGCCAAGGTAGCTGCGCAGTTCACCCAGGTCAGTAATCGTGTGTCTCTTCTATAGCTCGAACTTCACGTAGGCGAGTCCAGTAGTGTCAGCTGTGGCAAAGACCAAGTCGTCGACGTACACGAGGATGTAGAACGGCGGCAGAGAGGTGTTGGCGCGCAGAAACAGCGACGGGTCGGCAGTAGAAGGAGCAAACCCAAGTGCCGCCAGCGTAGTCCTCAGTGTGTCGTGCCACTCACGTGGCGCCTGGCGGAGACCGTAGACTGGACGCCAGAGACTCCACTGGGTACCAGGAGGGAAAGACCCAGTGAAGCCAGGTGGGCGACGCAGCCAGATCTCCTCGTGCAGGCTGCCCTGCAAGAATGCAGTGCTGAAGTCGAGAGAGTGCAGCTCGTAGTCACGGTGAGCAGCAACGTGCAGCAGTACCCGAAGAGTGGTCATCTTCGGGGTGGGAGAGAAGGTCTGAAAGTAGTCAACTCCCTGCCGCTGGCTGAAGCCACGAGCCACGTAACGCGCCTTGAAGACAGGCGGAGAACCCGGCGGCCGCTTCACCCTGAAGATCCACATGCCACTGACTATGTTCGCCCCGGGAGGGGGAACTGCGTCAACGTAGGTGCCTGTGGACCTCCAAGAAGCCATCTCTGTATCCATAGCTGCCTGCCACTGAGAGGAGTAGGGACCCTCTATCGCCTCCGCGTAAGAGCGCGGAGTCGGGATGTCTAGTGCATCCGGGTCTCCCTCACGGGCGAGCAGTACAGACGCAAGATGAGGTGAAGCGGCGGCCAGACACTGGAACTCCTCCTGCCTGTCCTCAAGGATGTCCGTGCCAAGGGCACACTCACCCCCAACAGACGGAGGTCAGGCAAACTCAGACTCAACGACAAGACTAGCAGCGTAGTCTAGACGACAGCGCGCAGCAAAGTCAACGAGCTCAGTGACAAGGGCAGACGCAGCAGAAGACTCGAAAGAAGGGTCTGTGACGGCAGTAGCAAGGAGACGCGTGACAGTAGGACTGGCAGCACGAAGAGAGTCCGACTCCGGGTCGGCAAGAGCAGGAAGAGAGGAAGCAGGAGGAGAAGGCAAAGGGAC